CTACGAATGGGGAAGGAATTTCGTAGACCGAGATATCTCCAGCAATGACGTTGTTTTAATAGCAGATAAGGTCGGGGTGAACCTCCTGCTGAAGTTCGAGCATCTGTACTCACCATATGTGCAAAAACGGGGGTTGACCTTTCGCTAGAACGTGGAAATATACAGTGTTTCTCAACCACGCACGCTGAGGGACAAAAAAATATCACTTCTTCATCATGCAGAGCGATGCGCGGGCAGCGAGGTACATCCGCTGCCCCGCAATTGGCTCCTTGCCCTTTTTTGCCCGATAAGATGAGTGAATTCGTAATGAATCTTCGTTACAACATGGTCGGATACGCCCCAACCACCCTGTCTTCCGAACCGCAGCGTCCGTAGTCCTATCTAGCGGTTCTCTCTCTCTCCCACTCTGGTCTACTCCGCCCGCTATCTCACGGGCTGCCCGTGCTTGCAGCGTAAAAATGGGAATGAACCCTCCGCTAGAATGCGGATAGGTGCACCCACGTTGCACAACTGTTCCTACTCAGTGCGGCTCACCCTCTTACAATACTAATTCTTAACTATAACTAACTTCAAACTTAGACTCGCCCCTCTCAGAAAATCTCGATCTGCGTTCTCCTTTTCTGTGGATGCACCTGGCGTCAAACCCGACCAGGTTCATTCGCCTTTCTCAGCCTTCTCCTCGTAGTTTTTCCCCGTCATGCACAACGCATCCTTCACTCCCTCGCCCCCAGCAGCACTAACACTAACATACTAACTTCAGATCTAACGCTACAGTCTACCTCCCCCTACCCAAAAACCCCCGACTTCCACTTTACTTCGCTCGATTCGTGTAGAGAGATCGTTCTTTTCCCCTCTACCATGACCTTGACACTCCTCACGCAACATCTCTCTCTCTCCCAACTCTCATCTTACTAATCCTCCTCTAAATCTAACCCTTTCATTGGATTCGTCTTCCTTCGAAACTCCCGTTTTGCACCTTCCCTCACCCGTTTTCACCAAGGAACGGGTGAGCTCTATGCTTTTTACTTTTGCCTCTTCTTCTCCCATAGCCATTTTGGCGCAGCTCGTATTTCTTCCARCTCCCTTTCTATCAGTCCTCTCCTGAAACTAACTACAGAATCGAATTCGCCCTACCTAAACACATCGGGCTAACATCTTCCCCCGCCCGTTTTCGTTGAGAAACTGACGAGCCATCTCCTTTCCMCCCCGCCTGCCTCCACCATCGCCCATCCTTGCTGCGCATGCATCAGGCACCTCAGCCCGCCCAGGTTCACTCCACCGTCCATGCTTCCCTCTGCTGCCTCGTCGCCTGGCCGCGACCAGCGACCACGAGAGTACCAGGTGGCCACGCTCTCCGAACACCGGCACACACGGGCAAACTGCCGACAGCCTTGGCCTACCAGTCTCCTCCTTAGCTCCTCCCTTTCGAACGGATCCGGGGTGGAAACGCGCCCGGATTCATTCCTTCTGTCGTTCCCTAACTCCTCTTTATCACCTTCCCTTGCTCTGCCTCCCGTTACTCCTCTGCCTCTTGCCCGTCGCTCTCCGCCTCAATACCCACTGGTCTCCTCCCTGTTTGCTTGCGCATGAATCCGGACGCAGACAGCGTCCGGGTACATTCCTTTCTGCCAGTCGTTCCCCTGCGCAGCACCTCCCCTAGTGTCCGCCTTCTTCCCCGTCACTCCGTTCGCTCTTACTGTTACGCCGCGCCACACTGCCCATTCCTGTTGATCTCTACTACTAACCGGCTGCTCACATCGGCCTCGGATCCGACACTACGACTGGTTCCTCCAAGCAACAGGGCGCAGTCCTATAGCTGCGCTCTACCCCGCTCATCAACCCCTGCTACTCTGAGGAAAACTCCGGTGGGTACCAGCAACTGGACGGTCCGAGCAGCCTTTGGCCCCTAAGCCCCAGTCCGACGAACGATTTGGACATCAGTATTGCTGCGGGCTTCCACCTTAGCGCCAGTCCGCCCACTGCCTTTGCTTCGGGTCGTTCTCCGCTGCTGCCCGGCCTGTCCGTACCCAGCACAGCCTGTGGTCCGACAACCCCCACCTCTCAGAAAACTCTGGTTGTCGGTCGACCCTCATTTTATAGCCTTTACCGGTGTCGAGGCCCCACGCCAATCTACTCTGTATCGTTCCAATTTTAACGGATGTCCCGAAGGACTTAGCCGCGGTGGTACCCCCACCTGCGGTTCTCTAAGATGTGGACTGCCAGTCGCGGTACTGCATCTTGAACCAAAACGGGACTGCAAATACCAATAGAAGTAATAGGTAAATATTAGAAAAAACAAGATAAAATAAATTATTATAAAGTAGAAATCCCTAAGCAGGCTGCGGGGACTGCTAAACCCCACTCGTCCCGTWGACCGGGCCKGTCGCCGCGCCCGTCAAAAGAAACCGAAGGGGGATAGCCCCGTCGGCCCTCAACCCCCTCGGTTTTCTCCTCGATGCTCCGCTGCCTCCGCACCGACATCTGCCGGCCTCAATCCCYGAACCTCCGTTGTAATAGTCCGATGTCGTAACCTATAGGGCTAAGCCCAAGCCTGAGACCAAAACAYGCCGAGTGCCATATAAGACGGTGCGGCRCGGCGCTTTGGGCCAACAAAACGGCTGCGCGGCTCCCAGTGCCCGCGCCGGCTTTGCTTATACCATGCCATAATTGCCCCGCGCGCCATCCTACGACATCCCGCTCATCGCACGAAGTCGCGCTGTCGTTGCCGATGCCGTCGTCGGGGTCGTTTCTCCGCACGTGCGCTCTACTCGGTCAAACATAATCATCGAAAGAAAAATCCTTAATCCCTGCTTAATAAATAAATAATAATATCACCAAGCGAAACGACCGAGGTCCGGGCCGGCTTTACGGYCAATAACAGAAATGAATCACGCCCGCCTTAAACCTRCGCACCCACACACTCGCTATTGTGGTCAACCACCTAGTCCACGCAATTACTGACTCAGCCGCGCTTAGCGCGGCATACTTAAACTCTAGACCAAAATTATTTTCTGTCACTTCCAAAAACCAGGGCGGATACCCTTGKAAGGGTATTCGCACCGACAGCTTACCGGACCATATTAAGCGACGTCCCTGTCGCTTCGCCAAATCAGAAAGCTATAAATCCATCCACATTCCAAATGCTGACGAAACAGGAGYCAATCCGATTAGCCGAGAAACACARGGTAGAGGCCTCCATCAAACCATGCCTCCACAACTATATGCTGCCAGGTTTCTAACCTGGGACATACACTGTCCAGAAATTAGGATACAGGCAGCATAAGTTCCAAAGACCTTCCCAATCGTCCTCTCCCCGGTCCTAGACATCCTTCGGCTTTTCGTTGGGTGCAGCCATCCAATGGGGTTACGCCCTAGAGGTACTAACTTCTTTTCCGTTAGCTTGGCCTTTCTTCAAATGTCCCAGAACTAGCACAGGTGGTTAGACGGGGCGTCGCAAAATAAAATCACAGGCCCACTGCGCGATACGCAGGGGTCCGAAGGCATTTACCAGCCCTCCTTCAATAGGCATGGCATCCCTCGGACGCCTACAAGCAAAATCACCGTTAAATCCACCAGGCCGTGACCCCTGACTTGATCAGAGTCAGCAGCCACCCACCCTGAGACATCTCTCGCCCTGCACTCATTGCGACTTTTTTAAACATTTCAAACAAAAGTGGCCCTTTCCGTCAGACTTTATCACCCATCAAACAACTCGTCATGCCATAAATCAATTTACTCATYTCTGAGAATGAGTCTTCCAACCAAAAAACCACTCCCCTTTTCCAATAATCCAAAAGGGGCTCTCTTCATAAACAAAACACCTCCTCTTTCAAAAAAAATCGTGAGGGGTCTTGCCATAAAACAATACATCCCCTCTTCCAGAAATCACGAGGGTCTCATTATAAACCAAACACCCCCTCTCTCAAAGTCACGAGGGGTTTCGTTATATCACAAAACATCATAAAACATCCCCTTTTCTCAAAAATCTAAGGGGGTCCCATTATAAAACAGAACATCACTAAGAGAACATCTTATGGGTCCTCATCACAACTTAGATAACTTTCACAAACGGACTGCACTTCCTCCCCTTATACTCTGCCTTATCAGCTGCTGTGGGCAGGTCGCACAAGTATACCGAGGAGTAGACAGTTTTATTTACAATCATACTCACAGTACCTATAATACACCAGATGTTTTTCACACATCGTCCACACAAACTCATCATACATCAGAGTACAATCACATATGTGAGAGTGACAAGTGATCGTCACATATAAGAATGGTAAAAAAAACTCATCATAATATATACTAAAGAAAATAAAATCAATCATAGCTCACTCAACTCAAGTCACACCAAACTTACATTAACTACTGCGCCTAGAATACATGTCCGATCTGTGTCTCAAAGGCCAGGGCGTAGGCTACCTAAATATGTACATGCCTTATCTAACTCACCCTAATCCTCAARATCCCAACTCAGTAGGAATACTAGATTTCAGATCTAGACTAATAGCAATCATCAAAATGTCTTCTAAGTCTAAGATGGAATCACACAGAACSTAAGTTGATGCCTCACAAAATCCTCGCTCACTTATGTAGACAAAACCGGCCCTACCTCCTCAATTCCTCCTGGTTTTGCCTATATAACTGAGCCCTAAGTCCATCTGCGSACTTCTCTACTATCCTACCCTGTCTATCATACATTTTACCTTCTACTTCTGAGACCTTCCCTGCTGCCTTATCCTCAAGAAACTCGAGACRGTCCAAAACCAGATGCACGTCCCTCTTGCAGTAAAAACATAGCTGATCTACCTTTCTCTTGAACTTCTTCTTCCTGGGCTGAGGAGGTGGCGATGAAGGAGATCCCACCAAGGTACCGACACCCCCCTGCTGCTCTGATCGAGGAGCTGCGGTACTAACGACCTCCTGCTGCTCTGTCCCAGGAACCGGTCCACCAGACCCAGATCCAGTAGCCCAAGATCCTAGTCTACCTCTCAAATCCTCTGTCGCTGTAACGTACTCAGGCGTGTCCAACCTATGAGGTCTCCTCTCGAGTGTCTCTCATGGCGCTGCCATGGGCTGCTTCTCAATCTCGTCTGGTCCATACTTAGGCGTGCCTATCCTCTGGAGTCTGCCCTCGATGGCACCCTCCTCCTCAATCCCCATCTCCCTCTCAAGAGGCTCCTCTATCCTCTGCTCAGGTGAAAACAAACTCACCTCCTCCTGCAGAGTATGCACCGCCTCAAGGAGCATGCCCATGGATTCCTCTGCTGAGCCCTGAGCCGGCTCACTGCTAGATGGTGGCAGCCCCTCCTCTACTGTCAAGGGTACGACTGGGCCTGCCGCCGCCACTGGCAGCGTCGCGAGCTCAGTAGGGGCTCTAAACTCGAACGCCTCTTTCTCTGCCTGTCTCTGGGCTCTCGCCTCCTCTGGCTCCAGGATAGCTCTCCCCATAGGTGGCTCCTGGCGGGGCTCTGCTACAGATGGCTGTCCTGGCAATCCTTGTCCCG